AAAAAGGAATGGACTGTCAGAAATGGCGGATAAAGGAAGCGCTGTTTTTATGCAGGTTATTAATGTCTTAGCAGCAGAATTTCTGACGTACCCAGTGGTGAAGTATCATAGGTTATGTTGCTCATGAACCTTCATTGATCTTGGATGACGATGACAAAACAACGACGGATAAGACTGTGCACCTGCTCAAGAAGCAACAGAAGGTTATTAGCACTGGCCTAAGCAGAATTAAATCCGAGTTTATCTCGTTGAATCCTAGTAGGAAAAAACTTTTACTGCTTAAGCTTGGTCATCAAAATACATTTCTGCACGTTGTTTAATTTTTTTGGTATTTGTGTTTGTCACGCCTCTCAAATTGATTTGAAAGTGATCTGACAAAGGGAATTTCACAGAATGTATTTCGCGGAGCAAATGTATTTTGAATCTTGTCGAAGAATTGGATATCCGCATGAAAGATTCGGATTGTATTTTGAAACCGTTCATTTTTAATTTAATTCTGGCATTCTGGCTTCGAATCTGTCGACTGCTGCGGACGACCAACTACATTCGTAAAACTTCACTACCAACCTACCTTGAAGAAAGAAAGGAAGCTCTTGAGACATTGGCCAATACGTCGCTGTTGGTCAATCACCGTGTCTTTAGCGTTGGGTATAAGTAAACCGTATTTTGCGCTATTTTTGAGGAAACTGTAGGGAACTCCCGATACAAGGGGTAAAAGAAAAAGGAACAATATCTGTCATCTAGGTGAAAACATAGCCATCCAACAGACTTCCAGCTCGCAGTCACACAGTGGACTCGAAGGCGAAACAGAAGCCCTTCTAGTGGCCGCTCAAGACCAAGCATTGAGCATAAACTCATGCACAGCTAAGACCCCGCGCGCACAGCCAGAACCAATGTGGACAATGTGCAGAATAAAGGATCAGACTTTGACTATATAGCTTCCGATTGCGAAACTCTCACGAATCGATAATAAAAGAAAAAGCACATCAACCTTTCAAGGATGGTCCACTGGTATTTTGGCTATTGAGCACTCGTAACAGTGGCAAAATTATCATCCACAAGCAACGGAAGAGACAGAGCAAGTGAAAATATTCTGGAATTCCCCAATACGAAGTGAGGAAGGATAATCCTCTCGTCGTTCGGATATAATGCTGGTAGACAGAGCAGAAC